AGATAAAAAACAAAAGAAAACACTAGACACTTCCATCACCAGATGGAAGCGTCTCTCTCCTATTGTGGATAACTGACAAATCTGTTTGATGTATAAAGTATTTTGTTTCCTTGCCTCTTATTTCCTACTTGTTCTGATTATTCACAGCAGACATTTTCATGACCATAATTAGTTTAGCTATTCACAAAATATGGGCTCTTAAGAGAAAGCTGTCAAGTAACAATATTTATTTGTCTGGGTGGGTGCAAGGGCTTCTGGGAAAAATGCCACAACCCTAGGCAATTTGTTAATTTAACTGTTATTACTGTTCTCATCAAAATTCTAGGTAACTTCAAGACTCCAAAAGGGAGAACATAATCCTATTTGAGGCTAACAGTCTTGCCAAGATTGATACTTCTTATAAAGCACTACAGTGAACCAGTGTAGAATGAATCAAGGCATGTATGTCGGGCACGCTTCCTTTTTAACAAAGGCTACAAGAATGGGGCACTACTGAGCACACTTCAGTAGTAAATGTGCTTTCCCCATGCTCACACAAGCCCTGCTTAAAATAATCACATTAACAATATTAATCCTGCATTTTCACTCATCCCACTGGTCTTTATTGATGGAAAAAAAACAGTGAGGGCAAGTCCAAAAACCATTTTAAAGGGCTTCTGTTAACTTCTTCCCAGCTCCACAAGTCCTTCTCTTATGGCAAAAAAAAATAGAGGTGAACCTGGGACAACAGACATGGGCTGGCTAGGACACTGTTTTGCAACAACCCGGTGATGCTCAAATAGCATGCCCAGGCACCATGTAGGGTTAAGTGTGCAAACATGAATCACAAGATAAACCCAGAGATTTCAAATAGGAATCCATAGTGTTAAAAATGTTGTGACAGTTGTGGTCTTTCTAAGTTAGCTATTATTTTTCTGTAGTCAAAAAAAAAGTGAAAGAGCTGGCATTTTCTGAGGGATGTCAGTTAAGAATCACTGCAGTAGATACTTTCAGAAAACACACTAATAGGTTTAAAGCAAAATGGATAAGTATTTCCTCTCCCATGATCAAACAACAACAAAAATAGAGGGATAATTATTGGGATTAATAAAATAATAACATTTGAAGTAGAGGAAGTTTACAAAGTTAAAAAAGGCAGATGCCTCATAGTTAGGAGACTCACAAGGGAACGTGAAGTCAGTCTTGTGAATATTTACTCTCCTAATAAAAACTGGAAATTTTTTACTTTATGAATTCTAATAAAAAGCCATGATAGGCACTAAAAGAACTCTTGTAATAGGGATTGGAAGTGTGCATTAATGCCACTGGATAGATCTAAAAGGGAAAGTTAGATACAGGAGCTAGAACCACAAAGTAGGCCGTGCAAGTAGGCAGCTATTCAATCTGGCTTCAGATCCGGCCACTTCAGATGCTAGGGATCTGATCCGAAACTCCAGACCAGGTTTCTGCTTTGATCCAGCCGCCTTAGAGATCCAGCCATAGGGTATAATGGGAAATCAATGAAATATCTATAACTTTGTTGTTTTCTGTCTGATTTGAATTAAACTTGCAGGGGTGGTAGCCTTTGCTGAGAGCATGAAGCCTGCCAAGTTTCAAAAGGATCAGTGCAGGGGTCTGGGGGGAACTGCACCCCAAATTCTTGAAAGCAAAACTCATGTCACATCTATGTATAACACCTCAGAGGGGTGAAAACTGCAGGGGTGGTGGCCCCTACTGAGGCCACAAAGCCTGCCAAGTTTCTAGGAGGTAAGTGCAGGGGTTCGGAGGGAAACTGCACCTCAAGCTGCAGACAAGCAAAACTCGTGACAGGGGTGCACAAGCACCCCTGTCATGAGTTTTGCCTGTCAGCAGCTAGGGGTACAGGGCCCCAGAACCCCCCTGCACCTATGTCTTCAACAGCTGGCAGGCTTCATGGCCACAGCAGAGGCCACCATCCCTGCAGCTTTCACCCTGCTGTGCCTTAATACACACAGTGTCACACCTCACGAGTTTTGCTTGTCCGCAGCTTGAGGTGCGGTTCCCCCCGAACCCCTGTGCTTATCTCCTTGAAACTTGGCAGACTTCGTGGCCGCAGCAGGGACCACCACCCCTGCAGTTTTCAGCCTGCTGAGCCTTAACCCACACAGGGTCATCTGTGTCATGAGTTTTGCTTGTCAGCAGCTTGAGGTGCACTTCCCCCAAACCCCTGCACCAATCTTCTTGAAACTTGGCAGGCTTTGTGGCCTCACCAGGGACCACCACCCCCACAGTTTTCACCCCCCTGTATTGTAATGCATCGATGGGACACAAGTTTTGCTTTCAAGAAGTTGGGGTTCAGCTCCCCCCAAACCCCTGCACCAATTTTCTTGAAACTTGGCAGGCTTCATGACCTCAGCAGAGGCTACCACCCCAGCATATTTCATCCAAATCAGACAAAAAACAACAAAGTTATAGATATTTCACTGATTCCCCACTATACCCTGTGACCGGATCTCCAAAGCGGCTCCGAAGCTTTTCCAAAGCGCTTTGGAAGCTCCAAACCACTTCGGAAAGCCTAATGAAGCCAGCGCTTTGATCTGGACATGGTGCTTTGGCATCCAAAGCTTCTTTGGAACCAAAGCACAGTCCAAAGCCTTGCACAGCCCTACCACAAAACAATTTCTACTTGTAAATAAATGTAAAGACATATGGAGGATCTTTAACCCCACAGAAAGAGACTGCACCAGTTTCCCAAATTGTAGGGCACACCCCTTTGAGGAAGCACAAAAAGTTCAGTGGGGAGACAGTAGTGCAGTCAAAGACAAAGAATCACCACATGTGAGAATCATGTACATTTGGTAGCTGAAGTTGAGCCGGTGTGCAGGAGTGGCCAATTGTACTCTAGAAGTTTATGCCTCAACTATGCTTTTTTCTCATTCCCTCAGAATTCTTACTCAAGAATTGACTGTGTGTTCACTGGCAGGATTTCTATGACTAAATTTACTAATTGTACCCTTGAAGCCATCAGTATTTCAGATCATGGTCCTCTGAAACATGTGTTTACTTTATGACAGATCAACAACGATAGGAAAACTTGGAGGATGAATAGAAATTAAATACAAAAAAACTATAATGAGGAAACAAAGAAAATGTTCATAAATATATAAAGAACAATCTATCCAAGATATCATCCTTAATATTATGGAAAGATATGATAAAGCACTTGTCAGAGACAAATTCATTTAAATAATTAATTATATTGATAATGAAACCTTAAAACAACTGAAAGACGTGTACAACCTAAAAAGAGAGAGGAACTCCATAAAACATCCCAGAAAAAAGCCAGTGAATTATACTAATTAAAATTAGGTTGATAGAAAAAACTGAAGTAGGAAGG